GACACACTTTTTCCCCACAAAACAGGGGGGTGGAAAGTCTGTGCGTCTTATGGAGCGAAGAAAACAGATTATATTTTCCTGTTTTCTTGTCCTAAAAAAAATTGGTGCATCTTATGGAAAGGTGCGTCTTATGGAGCGAAAAATATGTATTTGTTTGAAATGTAATAGAGGAGGAAAGCTCTGTGGGTATCCTGGACTGTTAGAAAGATGAATAAGTGGGTAAAGGTAAAGGTTCCCCTTGACAGTTTGTCCAGTCGTGTCTGACTCTAGGGCTCGGTGCTCATCCCCGTTTCCAAGCCGTAGAGCCAGGATCTGTCCAAAGACAGTTTCCGTAGTCATGTGGCCAGCATGATTAGAAACAGAACACCGTTACCTTCCCACAGATGTGGTACCTATTTCTCTGCTCGCATTTGCATGCTTTCGAACTGTGGGTCTTAGATCAAATCAAACTATCTCTGGAGGCAAAATTTATAAAACTGAGGCTGCCCTACTTTGGGCATGAGAAAACAGGATTCTCTAGAAAGGACAGTAATGCTGGAAAAGATTGGAGGCAGCAGGAAAAGAGGAAGGCCAAATATAAGACTCCCTAAAGGAACCACAGGCTTGAGTCTACAAGAGCTGAGCATGCCTGCTGAGGACAGGACATTTTGGAGTTCGCTCATACACAGGGTCATCATAAGTCTGAGGTGACTTGATAGCACACAACAACAACAATGGGGTTTGCAGTTCAAAATATCTGGAAGGCCAGCAGTTTCCTCATCCTGATCTATGCTCTGGTCAACTGAGAAAAGAATACTGTATTAGAAAGCAGTACAGTGTCCTGATAGCAATGAATAGCAATTGTCCATTAATTAAGGAGTATTACCGTATATCTCAACAAGGTTAAAGGTAATTTACAGGAAAAGGATAAGGGATATAATTAAAACACTGCAGATATATTGGGCTTAATTCAGATATGCTGACAAAAGTTGCTAAGTTCTGTGCTGCTGCAATAAAAATCCGTGAAGGAAAGGTTCCACCTAAAGCGCAGTTATAGAATCTGTAAATTGGTGTAAACCAATTAATGATCACACGGGCTATATGAGCTTTAAAATAACAAATTTGGCATTCTATGCAAGCTGTAATAGCCCATAGATAAGGCCTATGATAGGGAGGTAAGAGATATCTAGTAAGATGTATATATGTATATAGATGCTTTTAGTGCTTTGGTGTTTTTAGTGTTTTTAATGCTTTTATATTGTTCTTATGTTCTTATGTATCTTACCTTTGCTGGTCAATGACTGCAATAAACATTTATTATTATTATTATTATCACTGCAGAAGAAAAGGAAGTTAAATTCATATGTGGTGGAGATGCCCATGCATTAAACTGAATTGGGCAAAGACCTTATGGATTACAGTATTCATATCATCACTGGTTATTATCACCAAGATACTTCAAAGGCTCTGTTATTAAAAGAGTATTCTATATTATGTAAAGGAGGAAATGTAGGGCATAATTCAATATTTTATTGGTTGTAGCTAAAATATAATTTGCAAAGCTATGGAAAAATATTAAAATCCCTAAGGTGGAAACCAGGTTGCAGAGAGAATGTTAGAGACTGTAGTTTTAAAGAAAACAGGAAATTATGTTAAACAAAGAGAAATCAGAGTCTCTGCTGATACTTTAGTTTACAGTTGCACTGGCTTTAATTTCTTCCACAAGGGACATGGGCTGGGATTTTGTTTCTGAAAGATATTGAGGATGTGGAAAGAACATCCAGATAACAAAGAAGAAAAGTATGATAGATTTCACAACGATAACAAATTGCAAAATTTCATTCCCCACTTAAAAATCATTCTCAGATGGAGCACTCCTTCAGAAGAGAAACAGAATGTAAGAACGCTGGATTCTTAGATAGTGGCTAAAATCCAGTAGTAAGGCTCAACTAAAGTAGGCCCATTGAATCACTAGAGCTTACATAGATTTTGACTCACTACATCCCTACTGATTCAATGAGCCTAATCTAGTTGTGATTTCAGCCAGTATGAAACAAAAACATCATCCAATCCTGCACTCCAGCTAAAATGGAGACCACTATTCCTCAGTAATTGTTCCCAATATCTGGTAAATGGGGACCTCCTGCTTATCAACAGGCTGGCTTTCATTGCGTAGTAGTTATGGGTCAATCTTGATGCATTATCCAAATTCCCATCACTGTTAGTGGTTACAGCAACCTGCCCCCATCCTGATGTCACTGGGATGTCTCAGACTGCAACACCATTGCCCTCAGTTAACATGCCAGTCATGTCAGCTGAGGTGATGGGAGTTTTAGGTCAACGCATCTGGGAGCACCATGTTGGCTGAAGCAAATTCCTATGTCTCTGAATGGTATGTGTTCCATTAACTGTGGAAGGATGGAGAGAAAAAAACAAGTAGGTATGGCTGGGTTTGGCTGTGGAAACTCATGGGGGAGGGTGGTAAATGCATTCCTTAAATATCTCACTTATCTTGAAAGCCACATTAGGATCACGGTAGATCAGCATATAAAACACATGGCAAAGGATCTTATTTTCATATCTCCTCACTCTGCCCTGTGTTTCTGTTACTTGTCTTTCGTTCTTTTGCTTTATACCTGTTCTTTTTCCTCTCCAAATGCCTCTAGTATCACACACCCTGCCTCCTGTGTCTCTTGTTGAGGGCAATAATAACAACCATAATGATCTTAGAACGGCAGAGCTGGAAGGGACTCTATAGATCATTGAGTCCAGCTCTTGTCAAGGAGGCCCAGTGGGGAATCGAACTCCCAACCTCTGGCTTCGCAACCAGAGACCTCAATCAATGAGCCATCCAGCAGCAATGATGTAGTCACATTCTTTTAGACTTTAGATTTATTTGGGCCTCCTCTTTAGAAAGCAACAGGCATTGCTTCACATTTCAAATGGTGTTGTGCACTCCCTGGAAGCCACTGGCTGGTACTTTATTTGTTTCAAAATGTGGAAAACTAACCTCGCTGGTTTTAGAGGGCATCTGTGCTCGCTCCACAGCTGAACTTCTGGATGGCATCCTAAGGAGCATTCCCAAACTTTTTTTTTAAAGCAAGGGTTCCATAGTTATGCTAGAATATATTAATGGACAATTGTTATTCATTGCTATCATGACCACTTCGCCATGATGTGTCCCAGAAAGCATAGGTCTGGGTGCAAATTCTTTCATGCAAGGATCCATCATGAGGAATGGATAGAAAGTGATGGCAATTGAGATCAAAATAGTCACCAGATGGGGAGGACAACAGGCTTGGAACCATTTGTTATGAAAAGGCACTTTACCTATACTTGAAACTACTCCTTCTTTGAAACAATTTTCTGTGTGCTAATGCTGACATTATAAATGTCTTAGGCTGACCCCCTCACTCAAATTATGCAGCAGAAGTTTAAATATGTGTGTGTCCATGAACACACACACAGTTCCCAAGGAGGTTATACTTCTAATTAATTTATTTACATCATATATATGCCATCATGTTTTGTCTGCCGCAAAGCTCTCTGGGTGGCTTACAGTAACTGAAAATTCAAATTGCACAGTTTTCTGATTTGATGTTTTTCCCCCCACTTTCTTCCCTCTGAATGCTTACTTGGTTTCTAAGTGTTGTCATTTTAATGAGAAAGTAAGTAATAACAGTACTGTATCAAGCAAGCTGAATATTTACCATTAAATCCTACGCATGTCTGCTAGGAACAAAATCCCACTGAATTCAGCAGGACTGACCTCAAAGTAAGTACAGCCAGGATTGCAGCCTTCATTGTGTACTACCTCTACCATCAGAGCCATCCACCATGCCCCACTAGTCAGGGATTATGGAAACTGTAGTCTAGAGGAGAGCAAGTTAAAGAAGACTGGTGTGTTTATGCGTAGACGGATACATATCAAAATCAAGTCCCCAAAGCAAAGCAAAATGTTTCTGCAGGATTTCTAATATATTGCATGAGGGTTATGCTTCAGTCATTTGATGATCCTTTCCCCCAGGCTCCCATTCATACCTACCACTTGTTTTTGGCATCTCTGCTTTTTGTCTGTTTCATGCCTGGTCCTATGGATCCCTTAAACAGCAGCTTCTCTTTGCAAGGGCTTTTATCATTAAAAGGATTTTATCATCTATACTGTGCTTGTCCTCACAATGACTCCATGATGCAGTTCTGAATTTCTCCATTTTATATAAAAGAGAACTGAGACCAATACTTCTGGTGGGAGCGGGAAACACTTGTAATTTCCCTTTTTCCAAAAGATAGGTGGTGGGGGGGTATGCTCTGTGGTAGAGCAGGTGCTTTGAATGTAGAAAACCCCAGATCCGATCATCAGCATTCCTGTTAGTAATAATAACCATGTGCTGTCAAGTCAATTCTGATCCGAGCTACAGAGTACTCAGAAGTGTTTTACCATTCCCTTCTGCTGGGGGCATCCTGGGACTGTGGAGCTTTGGCCATGGCCAGACAGGCTGGCTGTACTCACAGGAGGCAGAGTGAGGAATCAAACTCTCAGCCTCTGGCTATGCAACCGGAAACCTAAACCACTGAGCTATCCCACCAGCATAAAGCTGGGAAAATGCCCACCTGAGACCAGCTGCTGCCAGTTAGAGTTGATGATACTAGGCTAGGTGAACTAATGGTTCCTAATTCAGCATAAGGGAGCTTCCTATGACTCTTGTTAGTCAACTGAAATATAGGCCTAGGCAGAGGCTGGATTTGACATTTACTGCTCTCCCACATCCAAATGCAGCTTTGTTACCCAGGGGTATGGAACCTCTCATCCTTCCTCAAAGAAGGTGTAGGGCTGCAGCTCCCTTCCTCCCTGTTCACTGGCTCTGCAGGCTGGGGTTAATGGGATCTGGAGTCCAGCCACAACGAAAGAGCCATAAGTTCCCCAGTTCTGTTCTAGGATGGGGACATGGATTGCATGGATCCCCAGGACCCTGTTTCTGAGGCCCCCTTCGGCCCTTTCTAGGGGAACCTGTTCCACTCACCTTAATGAGTTTGCAACGGATCTGGGCCGAAACCATGTGGCTATTGCGCAGGTTGCCCACCCGGAACATGAGGCAGAGCTTTCCGTCTCGTTGGGAGATGACGGCTGCCCGGCTAAACATGAGGGTCTCCGCCCGCTTCTTGGGCTGTGACATCTTGATGAACATGCATCCGATCAGGAAGGCATCCACTACCGAGCCTAACAACGACTGGAAGAGGAAAAGCACAATGCCTTCCGGGCAACGCTCAGTGATGTAGCGGTGGCCGTAGCCGATGGTTGCTTCCGTTTCAATGAAGAAGAGGAAGGCCGATGGGAAGTTGTAGACGTTGGCTACGCATGGGTTGTGTCCGCCGTTGTGGTTACTGTGGTGCATCTCAAGGTCGCCACGGAGATAAGCAATCCCCCACCACATGGAGGCCATAACCAGCCAAGCCACTGTGTAGGTCAACAAGAAGATAAGAAGATTCCAGCGCCACTTGAGGTCCACCAGGGTGGTGAAGAGGTCCGAAAGGTAGCGACTGTTCTCACTGCCTAGGTTACCATGCTGGACATTACAGCGTCCATTCTTGTCCACAAAACGCTGCCGCTTCCGGCGGGCTGAGGCACCCACCACAGCTTGGTACTCATCGCCAAACTTCCTTCGCACTACCGACATTGTGATCAGGAAGAATGACTAGTTTGCAGCTAAATAGATTCTTACCCAGAGCTGTCGCTGCAGGAACCAAAACTGGACGGTGGCCTCTTCTAGATTCACACCCCTAAACTGAACTTATCTGAATGGATGTTCTTTGTCTTCTGGGGAGGGGCAGATTAGACTCAGGAATACATGACAAGGGGTGGTGGTGAAGGACTGAGCAAGACTGGCAGGTCGTCTCTTCCGTTCACCATGGGAGGACACTGGAAGAGGCCAGTACCACCTTCTTACTGGGATCTGTTTTGGGCACTGGCTAGCGTATTCTGGTGGTGTTTTTTTCCCCCAGGTTGGGCTACTGCCAGATAGTACAAAACGAACCTAGATGGTCCAGGATTGCGTCCACCCGCTCCCTCTCCTTGAAGGCTGATGCTGGAGTAGAAAAGAAGAGAATCACCTGGTTTGGCTCGGCGACCACTTCTGTATTCCGGCGATGTCCACTGCCAGGAAGGTTTGAAGGTAGTCCCGGAGTGGCTTCCTGGAGGTCTCGTTTTCACATGCCTCGGCTGGTTTGCCCGGTGTGTGTGTGTGTGTGTGTATGGGGGGAGCTGCAGGCTCCCCGAGAATGCCAGGAACGGGGGCTAGAGGGCAGAGACCGTTTGGTGCCTATGGATCGGGGGTGGGTGGATGGACACCGAAGTGAGCTCGCACGGGGTAGCAGGATCTGATCTTTCGCAGACTGTAGGCTGGCGGCCGGCTGAGACGGAAGCCTCGGCGGTCCCTCTCGGACAAGGAGAAGCGGGTTCCAGGACAAGCGGGCGGGGAGGGAAGCGTTTGGCTGTAGCGATGCCTTTCCCGCCAAGGGACGGCTTAAGGGGGGAGGGTCTGTTCGGGACGCCAAGCCCGATCTGGCTTCGCTCGGGTTCCTGGCGGTGGTCAGCCGGAGTCCAAGAGACCGAAGGGGGGTGGCTGAGGGCTGTCTGTTGTCCTTTCTTCTTCTTTGCTATACGGATCCCTGGGGATCAGGCGCTCGGCGGAACGGAGCTCCCTAGGACGGGACTTGGCGCTCTTCTTGGGCGAAGGGCGGCGGGAGCGGCGCCTCTCTTTTGCAGAAGACCAGCCGCTCCGCGCTGCCCGCCGGGTTTCCGAGGGACGGAGGAACAGGAGCGATGCGCGGGAAGAAATCTTCTCGCCTCCCGCCCACCCTTCTTGCTTGCTTTCTGGTTTTTTCTTTCTTTCTTTGTCTCCCTTCCTTTCCTCCCTCAGTCCTTTCCCAGCACGTTTGGATCGGGAGGCTCGGTCTTCGTCCAAGGGAGACGGATCCTGGCTCTAGCAGAGGGGCGGCGATTGGTGTCGATGGAAGTCAGGAGGGCGAGCAGTTCGGAAGGCGGCGGAGGCGGGTGGCTGAAGCAGAAGTCCCGGGCTTTGGCCAATCGCGCAGGGAAGTGAAGTGGAGTAGTAAGGCAACGGCGGCGGGGGGGGGGGGGTCTGCGCAGCGCCGCCTAGCGGCCGCCGCCTCCCTTTTCGCGCCCCTGCGCTTCGGCTGTCTTGCGCGCTGGGATCTTCGCCGCGCTGCCGCCGCGCTCTCCCACCGGCTGCCTTGCCAGCCGAGTGGAGAGTGCGACCCCTTCTTCTCCTAGCGGGGGGGCGGGGAAAGAAACTCTTCCTCCCCGGCCTCACTGCTGGCTCCCGTTGCTGCAGGGACTAGCGCCCCGCCGCCGCCACAGAGCGCTGGAGACGGTGACGGGGGAGACGCGAACCTCATGCCTAAAGCCGCGGTGACTCATGCGAGCGAGCGACACAGTGGCTCAAGTCCCGCGTAAAGAAGCGGCGGAGAAGTGGTCGGAATTCGAATTAGGGACTCCCCGCTCCCCCCTCCCTCCCTCCCGGCATACGGCAAAGCCTGTCGTTTGGTTGGCAGCGCGGCGCGGCGGTGCGGGTGGTGGGGCGGACTCTGCCCCTCCCGATTCAGAGAGCCTTCTCCCCCCCCCCTCCCTCCCTCCCGGCATACGGCAAAGCCTGTCGTTTGGTTGGCAGCGCGGCGCGGCGGTGCGTGTGGTGGGGCGGACTCTGCTCCTCCCGATTCAGGGAGCCATGGAGAGCGAGTCCCTGAAGGAGGAGAATTTGGGGGGCGCAGGAGGGTGAGCAGGGGTGCTGGTGGAGGAAGAGGGCTAGGCATCATTTTAGCCCCCTCCCTCCCTCCCGGCATACGGCAAAGCCTGTCGTTTGGTTGGCAGCGCGGCGCGGCGGTGCGTGTGGTGGGGCGGACTCTGCTCCTCCCGATTCAGGGAGCCATGGAGAGCGAGTCCCTGAAGGAGGAGAATTTGGGGGGCGCAGGAGGGTGAGCAGGGGTGCTGGTGGAGGAAGAGGGCTAGGCATCATTTTAGCCCAGCCCACCATCTGGCTGTGTATCATCAAGTGGTAAGGGTACTTTTGGGCATGTACAGAGTGATTTCTCTCTCCCTCTTCAGAGTGGCACTGAATGGAAGAGCAGGACCAAGAAGGTAAGTGGATGCCTAAGATTTCTCAGGTTGCTGGTCTGAGGCAGGCCACTTCCTGGATGAGAGAATCTTTTCCAGGGACCCACGGAGGTCAAGAGTGTTGGCCTGGGACTTGACAGAACCATGTGCGAATCTCAACTGCCAGATCAAAATCAATGGGTCAGGTTTCTCTTCCTCTGTGAGCCTGAGCTACCCCACAAGGTGGCTGTGAGATAAAGTGAAGACGAAGAAAGGTGGAATATGGATGCAAGCAAGAAATACATAGAAACAATGACCTCAAATGTACAACACTTTCGAAGAAGAAAGATAACGTTTACATTTACTTACATTCAAAACAAAACAGTTGTCATCAGTGGGGCTTTGCAGGCCCACAAGTTGAGTCGGAAGGAACAAACTTTCCCGGGGCAGCTCTCAGTCCCACCACCCTCCCAAGTGCATTTGGTGGGGACACAGGAGAGGGCCTTTTCTGTTGCTGCTCCCAAACTCTGAAACTCCCTCCCACCGGAGGCCGGCCTGGCCCCATCTTTGCTTTTCTTCCACAGACAGGCAAAGATTTTTCAGGCAAGCTTTCTCTTAGTGACTGGCTGTCTAAGAGGGGATTCTTAAAATGAGACACTGTGGTTCATGTTTTCAGTACTATTTTCATCTACAGTGTTAATATTATGTTTGATTAATTCTTTTTAAATATTTTCATAATTTATGGTTCTTAGCTCTTAATATTGCTTATTTTTAATACTGTAAGCCAGCTCGGGTCCCTTTTAGGAGAAAGGCAGGGTCTAAATATTTCAAATGAATAGCTATCCTGTTTCCCTGAGAATAAGACCTAACCTGAAAATAAGCCCTGGCATGATTTTTCAGGATGCTCATAATATAAGCCCTACCCCCCAAATAAGCCCCAGTTAAGACAAATCCCACCCTCCACCGTTGTGCAGCAACCGGAAGAAGAAGATGTGACTATATTTGTATAAATGTAGATTGTTGTACATGAAAAAAAAAAATAAAACATTCCCTGAAAATAAGCCCTAATGCACTTTTTGGAGCAAAAATTAATATAAAGCCCTGTCTTATATTTGGGGAAACACAATAAATAAACAAATTAGAAACATACCATCATTTAATATGGAGGCTTTATGCCACAATCTTGGTGAGGAATGGATGCTAATGGCTTTCTCTTCCAGGAATTGCACAATTCCATTCTCTTTTTTAAAAAACAACCACACTGCTGCCTTTCATTGAATCCTGAGGCAGTGAGTTCTAGAGACAGTTCTTTTGCTTCATTTTGTGAGTAAACCCATACAGAAGTGAGCTTTCAGGAGGACTTTGTACTTAAACACATCTTTCTATATGGCCAGGGAGAATTGTAGCCTTGAGAAGCCAACATTTGTCTTTAAATTATGCCAAGTTCCGGACTCATGGTACTCCTTGTTTGGAAGAAATGTTACAATCTCATGATTTATTCAGACTTTATCCATTCTCTTGAGCCATTATACATGATTACACTAAAATGTTTGTATTTGATAATTGTTGGAGTCTCTAAGCTAGACTGTCTCTCATGTGAGGAAACCACAACTGTCTGTCAGTCAGTCTATTTCCCTGCCTGCCGGCCTGTTTGCATCTCCCTTCAACGGCTCTTTAGTTTTGATCCACTCATCTAGTGGCAGGTTTATATGAAATCGTAGAGTGAGCTTGTCCCACTCTGGGGGAACTATTCTAAGTATGGAAGGATGGTCCATGGATGGAGCAATGTGTTATTTCTGCTAATTGTTATTACGCGCCATCAAGTCACATCTGACATATAACATAATCATATGACATCAAGTCTAGACGTACGGTGATCCTTTCTGGGATTTTTTTAAAGATAGAGAATAAACAGAAGTGGTTTACCACCCCTTTCATCTGAGGGTACCCTGGGACTGTACAGCTTGCCCAAGGCCACCCAGGCTGGTTCTACTGGGAGGCAGAGTATGGAACTGAATTCGCAGCCTCAGGCCCTGAAGACAGATGCCTAAATTCCTGGACTATCCAACCAGCTATTTGACTGAGGAGACCTTATTAAGGGTTTCAGTGTATTCAGATATTTGTGGAGCAGTTTTATCAGCACTCTGCTCTGTGAGTTTCCCTGGCTGAATGGAGATTTGAACTCAGGTCTCCTCCAGTCTGTCACTTTATCCACTGCATCACATTGGCCCATCTCAACTCTGTTCCCTAACTTATCAAGAAAGTAGGCATGGATGGAACATTTGCAGAGTAGAATTAATAGATAGCAGGTATGCTTTAACTTTTCCCACACCCTCTAAATTTCACTGCCCCTCCTCCAAAGCCACTTGCCTCCCCTGCTGATCTTTTTCATTTAGGTTCCTGTCTCAAGGAGATGATTAAAAGAACGAGGAAAGAATTTGCTTGGGACAGAAGAGAGTTAATGACTTGGAGAGAACAGGTAATCAGTCAGGATGGGAGGGCTCAAGCACCTGCAAGTGAGAATGATCAGGAATGGAGCTTAGCCAAATGCCAGAACAAAAACAGGGGGGCTGAGATGGGTTAAGCTTATGCTGGGATTCTCAGCAGGCCCCTTGCATCCCCTTCTCTCTGAATCTGCTCTGTAAGTCCGCAACGCCATGCATTTCTGGTAATGTATAGTTCCACCTTTAAGGTCAGAATTAACAAGGATGATGCTGAGCTTGATAAAAAGAGGAAAGAGAGAAAACCAGTAGCATAAATTACTGTGAAAAATGAATGTTGGGTGCTCATTCTCCTTTTGCTCTGTCACCTTGATCCTATGAATCAATTCGCTTTGAGTGCTGTAAGCAGAGAGAACAGCTCATAAATGTTATGGCTAACTGAATAACAGGGTACAACCTGCTTGCTATGCCATTAACATCCCTGTGCTAGAGTTTCAGTCTGCAAGCATTTTGTGTGTGTGTGTCGTTAGACATTTTCACAGGACTTTGCACATTTTGGGGAGGGGGTCCTCACAGATGTGCTACCTTTCTTTTGGTGTCTGTGACCTGGACAGGTAGCCGCTAAGTGTGTGAAATATAATCATCTTAGAACTGCAGAGGTGGAAGGGACCCCATGGATCATGGTGACCAGTTGTTGTCAAGAGGCACAGTGGAGAATCGAACTCCCAACCTCCAGCTCTGCAGCCAGAGACCTAAACTGTGGAGCTATCTGTCAATTCTACAGTGTTAGAACTGCAGAGCTGAAAAGGACCCTATGGATTATCGAGTCCATGCCCTCGTTCAGAACAGAGCAACTGCTTCACAGCTGCGCTTTGCTACAGCTTTCGGTTATCTCTCTGAATCGAAAGCCAACCAGCTATTTCTCAACTGTACAATCTGATCTTAATTAAAAATATCCAGTGCGTCCTCCTTGCTAGCTATTCCCTCCCCCCTGCAGTCCCCACTCATCTCCGAAACGTATTATTTTCCTGCTTACCAGCAGGGGGGTCCCTGGAGTGTGGAATGAACCAGGATTCCCAGTGACTGTTTTCGATCTAATTTCTTTGCAAATCAACTCGATGCTCTCCCGAGGAAACGGTAACAGCTAAGGATCAAATGAATGGTGAGAACCGGAGCGTGCTGAGATCCGAGGCTTTCTTCCATCAACTCTCGGAAAGTGCCTTAGCATTCGGGGACTCACGTACCTTTGTTGAGTCAGTGCTTCGTTCAAATGGGAGTACCGTGGGGAGTCTGTGTGGTATGGAAGTCACACAAAGGCGATGCACATACTGGATGAGGAAAGAGCCCGAAATGGCTCCCCCACACAGTGTCCTTTGTATTTCACTGTGCACTTAATTATCTCACACTGCCATGTATAGGTAGGATGTACTTTCCAGTTGCTTCTGATTTGTGGCAACCCTGTGAATTAATGTGCCATCAAGTCACTTGTGATTTATGGCAGCCCTGTGAATTAATGACCTGCCAAAGATCCTATTATTAACAGCTCTGTTCAG